ATTTGAAAAAAAAAAAAAGAAAACTGAAAGTCAGAAATCGGCCGACCCACTTACAGGCCACCAGATAATGGACGCTGTAGAAAGCGACGCCGGACGTCGCCTGCTCGATAAGGACGGCCGCGTTGAGGTTGGGGGTAGATTAATAACGATTTGGCCCATTTGGGGGTTGGGGTTTTCTTTTTGAAAATTAGATACTCTTTGAGGACCTAATTGCAATTTGATGAAGTTTGACTATATTTTAATTTGGTTCATTTGCCAATATGTAATTTATAGAAAGTTTAATAATTCATATTACACATAAATAAAAAATGCCAAATATGTTGTGTACATTAACATTAAATATATTTTGTATATTCACATTATATAGTGTGTATTTCCCATTTAATTAAATTTTATATTTTTGAATTGCACATAAAAAAAAAAACCTTGAACTGCACGATGCATAATAATATTAATCATGATGCACATTAGTGACCATCAGATTGCACAACAGCGTCTCCAGATGCACATTAATGAGTGCAATGACACTACATGACTGAAAAAAAAATACTGTTATTTATTTTCAACAAACTATACTAAAAAATATTAAATAAAAAATAAATTTATTAAATATATTTTTTGAAATAAATTAAAATATTAAAATAATGTAATAATAAAATAAAATAATAGATAAAATATTGAATAAAATAAATAATATATAGTAGTGCACTTTATATATCAACACTTTATATAGCAGCACGTTGTACTTTATAAAATAACACATTGCACCTTACAGCACAACACGTTGCACCTTACGATACAACACGTTGCACTTTATATCATGCTTTTTAAAAATATTTACTTACCATAATATAAAATATCAAATAAAAAATATAAATACTAAAACGATATAAAAAAAATTATAAATGCAAAAAAATAACGATAATTGAAATACACATTATTGAAGTTTATAAATTCGAAACACATAAAAAATATTCGATCAGTTGATTGGACAATAAAGATAGACGAATTGCACATTGTTGTCTGCTCGATTGCACTTTATGGATTTTGATTTTTTTATATTGTATTTGCAACTATAAATATAAATTATTAAATAAAAATATTAAAATATAAAATGTATTTTATAATATACATAATAATATAAAAAAATTTGCAATAATTAATAAATTATAGTAAAAATAATAATTAAAAAGCTATTTAAATTATTTAGGTTAATTCAATGTACAATTATACATATAATTTATACATAATTTATATGGTAACGTATAAATTGGACAGTGCACTTTATATAACGGAATATCGCACTTTATAAAAGAATACGTTGCACTTTATCACCTCATCTATCTAAAAAAACATGATATTGTTTTATTTAAATAACTAAAACAAAGACAAACTATATTAAAAAATATTATTTTGTAAATTGTTTATACAATATCGTCTACAAATGACAAGATTAAATTTTTCGATTCAAAATTTTATATTATTAACATCTATATATTTTTACTTTTAATTTTAAAATATTGACTACAATATTATAAATGTATATATAATAAGAGAATTCAGTTATTTCGGTTAAGTCGAATAACTGACGAATAATTTGTTTCGATTAGTTATGTTAATTCGGTTAACCAATCAAATAACCCATTTGTTTCGTTCGGTATTAGTATTGTTTGGGAAAAACATAAAAAAAAATTAATACACTAATAGTTCACAGTAATGTTATACGGATTGCATAATAATAACTATCAGACTGCACATTAACGATTATCAGATTGCACCTTAGCATCTCAAATCGAACGAAATAAAATTTTCAGTTAAAAATTTCATATTTTAGTTTGATTATCTGTTTTTACTTTTAAAATGGCATTTAATTCATTTCGATGTCAGCTTTAATTTTATTTTTAAATAACTGAGTTGTAACTGAGTTGTCCGAACTATATTAAAAATATTATTATGATTTTTTTATATATTCTTATACATAGCGGATGCACATTACAGTTATAATAATTGAACATTAATTATCATCGAATTGCACAATATCTAACTAACTCGACCAAACTAAAATTTTTGCTTCAAAATTTTATATTTCGGTACAATTATTTTATTTTTTCATTAAAAAAAACGATTATTTCAGTTCAATGTATTGACTTTTCTTTTTGTTTTAAATAACCAAAATGCTAAACTATATTAAAAATATAATAATTATTTTATTTATATTTTTTATGCAAAAGTACTATTTATTTATTTATGTAAAAACATAAAAATGTTAAATTATGAATGGTGGATTAACCATGAACTAAACTGTCCTACTATTTTTTTTTTTCCAAACAATAAAACATTATATAAACTCAAATCATAAAGTCTAGTGCAAAGGTATAACCAAATGGCTACAATAACAATACCAGCAAAACAATGCTGATAACCGAGTAATAGGGAAAAGCACACAATCAACTCCCCAAACTCGCCACACAAAAAAAATAAAATAAAATAAAATTACAATACTAATCAAAGTTCCTATTCTTCACAGCATAGAAATTGTGATTAGGTCCCTGCACTATATTATAAATTATGAAAAATTGTGATTAGGTCCCTGCTTATTATCAAATTTCCAAAACGAAGCCCTAATGTTAATCTAATTTACAGTAACAACACCACAAAATCAAATTTCACAATCTGCAATCAAGATCCAAGAATCAAATTCACAATCTAAAATCACGAGCTTCACGAGCAGTTAATCTAATTTACAATAATAACACCACAAAATCAAAATTCACAATATGCAATCAAGATCCACAAATCAAATTTCACAATCTAAAATCAAGAGCTTCAGGAGTAAAACACCGGCAGCGGGACTTTGGAGAATAACAGTTCGTCGTTGAGGTGTATGTCGACGACCGAGATAAGCTCCGTCGGCAGCGGGTGGGCGGTGCGACGGCCAGCGTCGGAGAGGAAGGGGATAATAAAGCTCGAGCTCTGCCGGGTTTGCCCTGGTGGTCCGACGAGGGACGGCGTTGGATTGTTGGAGTCGAGATTGCTCAGTCGAGTGGAAGCGGTGGACTGGTGGCGGCGAAGGAATTCTTGTGGCTGTGGCGTGGTGGACTTGTGGGGGCTACGGACGGGGAGGGCGGAGGCGAGATGGCTCAGTCGAGGGGAAGCACGGTGGACTGGTCGCGGCGGAGGAATTCCGGTGACTGCGGTGTGGTGCACCGGTGGCGGGCTGAATTTTGTGTGTGTGTATGTGTGTGAGAAATACGGATTGTGTGAAAAATAAAGAGAGAGGATGATGAAATAGAAATCATGTGATTAATTGGTGAGTGGGTCCCACATAATATATGTGTTGACCAACTTACCCTTAATTATTGATCAAATGCACATATTTGATCATAATATGATCAAATAATTATTAGAATGCCATTAATGATTGACCCTAGTTTGACTTCATCATACCCATTGATATGATTGATCACATGGTCCAGATTTATTCTTATTTCTTTCACAAGGAATCATTCTCATATGATCCCTTATATATATATATATATATATATATATATATATATATATAATTACTAGTTGATGTATTTAATAAAACATTTAATAAAATCTATTTTCATTTCCCTCCAAACGTAGTTACATTTTTTTAATTAATTACTCACTAATCTGCTAAAACCGCTACACCTTAATATATATATTTTTATTATTTACTTTTTGGATCAGTTACTAAATTAATTCTAAATTTGTAACGGCTAATGTTGGAACTTAAAGTTGATTGACACATTCAGAGCCGTAACCGCTATATTTGGTTGCATTGTTAGAAAAAAAATATGATTGACACATATTTTTTTTTTTTTTCTAAAAATCAGAAACACCAATAATTTTTTTTTATTTATGTTAATTTTCTTAATATATGCCACAAATATATAAATTATTTTATTCATGTTACTAATGTAAACGTTGCATGGTTAAAATAAAATTTAAATCTCAATTGATTTTGAATGATAAAAATAACTTAAGAAAAAGTAATAATTTTTATATAATAGAAGTACATGTCTAATTAATAAATATAAACAAAAACGTGTTATATATCTGTGCAAATGCACACTATCAAATACTAGTATATATATATATATACTTACCATACTTAATAAAGAACGGTTTTTTTTTTTATTTTTTTTTATTTTTAAATTAAGAAATTGATAAAAATAAAGAATATGAAAATAGAAGAGAATCATCGTTATTAGCTGGTAGGAAAGTCCAGCTTATCTATATATATATATAATTACTAGCTCAATACATTTAATAAAACCTATTTAATTTTACCTATGTGGCAATTTAACAATTTTCCCTCCAAAAACCGTTACATTTTGATGTATTAATCTTTCATTTAATCATTAAATAATTAATACTCATCACTTCAAAATTACAAAAATTATTTTAAACTTTTGATTAATGACAGTTGACCATATAATGTGTTGACCGTATAATGTGATTAGATGTTATTATTGTTGTTACATTTAATTTTTTTTTTTGAAAATAAAAAATATATTTGAAATTCCTAAATAAATAATAAATAATTCACAAATAAAATACGTACCAAAATATACATTACATCCAATCAGATAAACGCAATTTAAAAAAATAATATTCTAACTCTTTTAATTGTAAATTTGGTCTGCAAAAAAGTGAAAGAAAAATAATTAATCATCATATACATACAGACTCACAATAATTTATTTATATCTGTGCAAATGCACATGTCGAATACTAGTTAAGGAAACCAATGGCTTTGCCAAGATACCCGTTACATATTTTGTAACGGCTACTTTTTCACTTTGAGCTGTCAACGAAAAGAAGAGAAACAAAATTAGATTTTGGGTGATAATTCCCTTTCCTTTTCTCCGAACGTCTTTCCTCAACATTTCCAATCAAAACTCTGCTAAGACATAAATCTTGACTGAAACCTCACAGTAAGAACCATTCTCTCCTCTCTCAATTGTTCATCCATGGCGCCCACACCTTCATCAAAATCGAACCATTCTACAAGACCCAACACAGCCCACCACCAATCCAGGACTCCTCAGTCAAAGCACCGCCTTCAGTTGAATTGCTTGCCGTCCGAGCACCCAATTGAAGTCATTGGCAGAATCAAGCCCAGTGCAAACCCTAACTCAGCCCTGCAAATCAACGGAGATGGAAAATCGGTGAGAGTGCAAACAGAGATTGGGTACAGAGACTTCAGTCTGGACGGGGTCTCCTATTCGGAAGAGGACGATCTCGAGGGTTTTTATCACAAGTTTGTGGAGTCGAGGGTTAATGGTGTCAAGTTGGGCCAGAAATGTACGGTCATGATGTATGGGCCCACGGGCTCGGGCAAGAGCCACACAATGTTTGGGTGCTTTAAGCAGCCCGGGATAGTGTATAACTCTCTCAAGGGAATTTTGGGTGAAGAGGAAAATGGACAGAAGTTGACATTTGTTCAGGTCACTGTTTTGGAAATTTATAATGAGGACATTTATGATCTGCTGTCAGCAGGCAACGGATTCAGTCTTGGCTGGTCAAGAAACAGTAATGCTTCTAAGGTTAAAAAA